CATTTTGTACTATAATTTCATATTCACAATAAAGATGGATTTAAAATATCATAAGCTCGAGGGTTACCTAATTTCTTCACGTTAGAAAGCTTTTTTGTTTCTAATTAACATTCGTTTGAGAAATGAGAATGATCAAGGTCGAAGAAGCAGATAGTAAAATAAAAATGATAAAATTTATTAGAGGATGTAAATCAAATTTTTTATAACCAATACGAGCCAATCATTAATTAATTCTTGAATTTAATAAAGACATGATGAATTAATGATTCTACATTCCATATTGAATTTTGCATGACTTGTAGGTTATTCTTAACGTCTTTGATTGACACGCAAACCACCACATCATGTCGAGTATTCTTTTGGCAATGTGATGGAACTCATCTCTTCAACCACAAGATTTCTACCCAAAATGGATAATTATAAAACTAAGGAAAGCAAATTTGCTAGAACCATACCCTAAAAAAACAGTTCAAGTACTAAAGAAGAGTTAAAAAAGCATACGGAAGAATCACACCATTATAATGCAATTTACTGTGGGGTATTATCAACTTTCTTTCCAACCTATTGGTAAAATTCAAAATGAATATTATTGAATTATTTATAGAGAAAATACAAGTTGATATCTGATATCAATTTGTTTTGTTAATATCAAGGGCAATTTGGTCTATTTTCCATTTAAATGATGGGCAAATATGTCTTTCTGCATTTGCCATGGCTGTTTCGTAATAAGTATCCCCGTTTTCTCCAATATTGACGTTGACGTTAACGAAGGACGTTTCCCTCATCTGAAACCCTCTAGGATTTTCAATACTCCATAGTCAGCAGTTAAACCAGGAACTTTGGCCTCAATTTCGACGACGCTTTATCGCAGTATCTAGTACTGAGGACGTAAAAATAAAGTTGGAGTTTTTAAGTCGAAATGGACTGTACAAACCATAATGAAATCTGTCGGCGACGGAAATGGCTTCGTTGGTTAAATTGAATTCATAAAATTAGGTAATTGAACTTATTGAATTTTGAAATTGTGGTATAATAGGTTGATTCTCGAATTGTATTGTGGTAGTGGAATGTTATTTTTTATGCAATTAGAATTGTAATATTTTTTAATTGCGATTAAAATTGGATTATAACATTTGTGATTAAACTTGTTTAAATTTGATTGAAACATTGAATATTGATATTGTCGTAACCATACCTGAAAATTGACACTATCAGGACTTAAGGCTTCAACAAAGATAACTTGAAAGCATATCTCCGATAACACTGGCTAATTTTGAAGCCAAGCTCCAAATTCTGATCCTTTTTTTTTTGGCGATTAACCATATTAACCTAGAGCTACCCATATCTTCTTTGTTTTCTCTCTCCTTAAGTTTTTTGGGTGATGATTTTCTCTCTCCTCTTACCCAGATCTCTGTAAAGTAAAGGAAGTAATGTACTCCGTACTAATGTCGTTAGTCTTTCCGTGAATTAAACTTCTGTAACACGTTTTTTAAAAGAAAAGTAAAAAATAGAGTACAACTCAGCATAAGGAATATTTTATGAATACTTTATTAAAAGGTATGCTACTATTTACGAGATTGCCATGATATTAACAAAGGTTGTTGATATGTGATATTAATGGGGTGTGACTCTTATTTATATACAAACTTATTGGTGTTTATAACTTAAAATTTATAAGCGCCTAAATAAATCATGTTATAACAGGTGGTAAGATGATGTCTTAATTTCACGAATCAACTAATTATTGGCCTAAAACTCTGAACTATATCACATGATGTGAGTTGTATTAGCAACATGAGCTTTACAATTGCCTATGGTATAGAAGATGTTGACTTAAGTGTGATTTGGCCAATAAAAACCAATGCCATTAAAGTAGGTTCCACCATAAGCAATTTGGATGGATAGTAATTATAGCTTGATGATGATATAAAAGGTGGTTGCTGATCTTAATATGTACGGGTAGGATGTACTAGCAAGGATTCTAGTAGTTATTTATTTATTTTTATTTTTTTTACCGATTTTTCTTTACTTGGTGAAGTATGCTGTAAGAGACACCAATCGTTTTTGTAATATTGATATTTGATTAAGTAACAAGATTGTTGCCTACAATTTATGTTCGGGATGTATACGAATTATAGATGATCAAAGTTAACAGACTTCGACATAAAGTTTGAAACTTATCTACCAACCCCACTCCGCTTAAAAAAAACAAAATTTATTGCATCATTATTCAATTACCACCGGGCTAAGCTAAGCAGTCAAAGAGATGATCCTTGAATTTGTACTTTGAACAAAGAATCTCTTCTCTCATCTACTCATGTAAGTTGTAAGTAGAATTTTTGTTTTTCACTTGACCGTTTCTTTTAACTTTTCAGCTTTATTAAAATAACACCGTCCTTCCAATTCTAAGCTTAAACACTATTTCACTCTTCACAATTTTGGCAAAAAAGACATCATATTTAAAGCTGCTTGCCATTTGTATTGTGCTTCAGAATTTTCTTCCAACCTTAAGTATGGATTGGTGGAGGCATTTAGTATTATTAATTACAGAAAAATAATAAATTCAAAAGTAATTAAATAAAATAAAAAATAGTACTAATATTATTGATTTTTTTTAATTAAAAAAAAAAAAAGCATTTTCCAAAGCAGAAATCTGCAGCTGCAAAAAAGACAGAGAAATGGGACAATGATGTCTACTATTCTCCAACATGTAACTTTGAACCGTATACGGTATGTATTACAATTACAACTACTTACAATTTATGAGTATAACAAATGCTGTCACAGTATAGGACGACAGTGCTCTACTCAAGTTAGACCTCTTAAAACATAAAAACATGTATAACTAAACTCACAACAAAGATAATCATAAATAAATCATTTGTCGCGTTACTAATTGAGAACAAAATATCCAAACAAATCTATGTCCTTCATATTTCACATATCTGGCTTCACATGATTATTAATTTCCTCCTAATTGAGAAAATAACAAGTTCATTAGCATGTTTGTGGCCTTTCGTGAGGGGAATTATGTTTAAAAATTGTGCGGAATTCACCTTTTGACCTCAATGTTGATATTTGAAAATATGAACCAAATTGTTTAGCTTAAATCATACAAAGTTGAACCAAAATTTTTATCATCAATGTTGTTGATTACAAACTCATAATTCAAATTCTGCTAAAAGGTATACTTTTACAGTGAATCTGTGAACCAATTTCTCATATATGGTCCTAAAATCCTAGTGCCCAAGTGGACCTTCAAAGGACTCAAAGAGGTGCATCAGAACATTAGGGGGGGGACTTTTTCCCAAATATTGACAAATCTTATACTGTATAACTGTATAAGCATTCTACAAGGATATACTACGTATTGAAGATGACGCATGCCAATTAATATTAAGCAATTATACTTCTAGTTCTTGTATATATCGCAAATTATTAAGTAGTCATGTTAGACCATCGACACTATAACAAGAGTAAGTTCTCTTCAACAACTCAATTATCTTAATACATATATTTGAAGAGAAAATGTTAAGATGTGCATAAGTCTTTTAGTTACAATATTAGGTTCTCGTATTTAATCTGTAGCAAAACATAGCTATGTGCCCATACCCGATACTCGTAACCTTTACGAGTTATACAGAAGTTATATGGACTCAAGAGCGCGTGTACAATGCAAGCTCACTCCTCAGTTCTTACTACAGAGTACCTCTGAGAACTTAGCAATGGCTTGATAAAATAAACAAGGATGATGACCACACCCAAGCCTTAACCTGACGCATACAAAGAAAAAAAAATTCTGGAAATCCTAATTCAGATAATAATGACCAAAAACAAGCAGAAAGGAACAAAAATGGCCTGCCAAACTAATGCTTATTACACCTGCAAAGTGCAGGACAAGGCAGAGGATAATAAAAACGAAAAAAAAACCTTGATTAAAGTATTCCAAAACCTGTTTAAAACCATACAACAGTCAGATGTACTAAATTAACAGACCCAAAAATTATTTGTCATCAAGCAAATTGTCATGATGTTATTACACATAGGTACCAAAGTCTAAAATCCTCTTTTATCATATTGAACTAGAATATGAAATGTCGCAATCTTTCTCCAATATCATTGCATCATAATTCCCATATTCAACCTAGGATATTCCATTACCAAACAAAGACCTTAGATTTCATGACATCATATCAGGCCATAGTGTAGATAGTGGATATCTTTCAGGACCAAACAAAGGATCACAACACAGAAGATTAGCATTTAGTCAAATAATGAAATTTTTTTAGCGCGTCATTAAGATTGAATCTTAAGTCATTACCGACAAACTCGAATGTTTAGCTAGCTCTAAATCACATAGAATCCAATGGATTGGACTAAAGTCTAAGCTCACTGGCCCAATCACATTATTCTTGTGCCTGGATTAGGAAGAGAGCACTTTGATATAAAAATTCCTAGTTTCCTACCCTCTCGTTGCTCGCATCTAATCATGTAAGCTTGAGTCCTAAAACTACATCATCACCCATAATTTGTGTCCATCAACAATTTATATATGGTCTTACTTTTACAGGTGCATGATCATTTGATTTATTATGCTATGGGTACACATGGGCCCAATCTGGGCTGCCCCTCTTAAGCCACAAACCCAGATTGGTTAGAAGCCTAACTGTGTGTGATGACAAAAAGGGATACAAGGTTCAAATATGGGAGGTGTGGAAAAAAAAACACAATGCTTTTACTACCCTCTAATACCCCTTATGTGACATGCTACACATCAAGTGTAAGTAGACCTGAGCAAAACTATCTGATTATCCGATAATCCGAAGATCCGATTCGCACCCGATCCGAAAATTTAGGATAACCGATCCGATAACATTTTCGGATCGGATACCCGATCCGAAATTTTCGGATATCCGAATATCCGAAAATAAAGTCGGATGTCGGATATCGGATCGGATATCCGATCCTATATCCGAAAATTACGTTTTTTTACCCATATTTTAAAGTTCAAATATTATCCATATGCCCATTGCCCAACAGCCCAAGCCCAACAAAAACTTGACTTACCCTAATTTCAATATTGTCCGCCTCTCTTTTCTCAAGTTCTCAGTTAGTTTTCTCAGTTTCTCACTCCTCTAGTCCTCTTCTCTCTCGAGCTCTCCTCTTTAGTCTCTACTTCTTTTCTCAGAACTTTAGAAGTCAGATCTACACCACCACATCTCCGACCATCGTCAAAGACTCAAAACCACCACAATCTTCCCTCACTTTTCCATTAGAAGCGGCGCCGCCCCTCACTCCTCCACCAGAAGCGGCGACGCCCCTCACTCCTCCACCAAGGTAATTAGCCCTTTTCCTCTTTTGATATAATTTATAATTTTAATTAGTTAATTGGGTTTTCGAAATTCTATTGTTCTGCTCTTTTGCTTCTTCTTGTGCTTCATTTTTAGGTTCCATTGTTGTTGATTAAATTTGGAGAAATGTTAATATCTGAAATTTTTGTTGTTGCAGAGTTGTTGACTTGCCGTATGCTGATACTTTGTTGATCCGCTATCGGTTTTCGACGTTGATGACTTTTTTTTAGTATAAGATAAAAATATAAAATGCATGTATTGTTAACATTTGGACATTAATGTATTTGGACTTTAAATTTTCTTTGTTATATAATTTGTACTTTTGTAGTAGTTAACTAGTTACCCAATTAGTTTGCATTTTGGCAGGTTATTTGTATTTTGTAATTTTATTATTTTGTTTTTTCTGAAAATTAGTTGTGGACAATATTTACAAGTCCATTAGTCCACTTTTTTAATAGGATAATTACACATCTATTTTATCTCTCTTTTTTCAGTGAGTAACATGAGGAGAAAATGGGAAAAAAAAATCAATTTTGCCATTTAAAACAACTAGTAATCAAAGTAGTCGGATATAGGATATCCGATATATCCGATCCGAAAATTTTGGATATCCGGATTTTCGGATATTCGAACATTTCGGATCGGATACAAATATCAAATATACGTATTTTCGGATACGGATATCCGATCCGAAATGGGATTTTGGATCGGATATCCGAACCGTGATCAGGCCTGAGTAAGCATAGAATTCATAATTTCATACTTCGTATAATAGTTAAAAGTAGTAAGAACTAGTAAGCAAGTTCTCATTCTAAAAAGTCACTCTTTTAAATAATGTTACCCTGGTATAACGTATAATCATCAATTTTTACTAAGAAAAAAAGGTTCATAATTAGCTGCCATAGACTCCCTCAGAAGAGAGAAAAAAAAAAAAAAACTGCCATAGACAATTGACATCTTTCACTTCAAAAACTACTAAATCAACGACAGTAATTGGATCAAATATGTCATAAGGAACCACCATAATTAACATTGTAGACCGTGTGGATCAAAGGTGCCTATAGTTCATACAGCTAAGTTGTAAAGTCAATACACTCTTCAAGGTTCAGGGTGCATCCCTTATCTTTTAGACAGATGATTGACAAACCTCTAAGAATGGAGCACCAAGGCCTTTTAAAGTAAATTCTGGCATTTTTTGGATTTATTTTTTCCCTTTACTATAGCCGGTAGCATTAGGAAGAAAATAAAGCTAACAGTGAACTCTCAGATTTAACTCTCCTAAATCTTATTTGCACCCTAATGCTTAATTAAATTTCAAGGACCGTGGTCTCTCACTCCAATAGGATCAACTTCGGAAAATTAAAACTTGGGGACTACAAGAAGTTAACTATACTCGGAAATACCTTTCTCTAATCCTGCAAAGAATGGGTAAAAGAGATTGAATAATAAAATCTTGACAAAGGAAAGAGTGAAATTGATTGGTCTTTAAAGCTAAAAAAAACGTAGAAGCATGATGTGAATTACATCTATCATAGCCATGTCAAGGAATATGGTGGGCAGCGGACTACATTAGATCGACTAAAACTAGAAAACAAGGTACTTATTTAACAACTTGAGTACAGTTCATTAGTTTAGCCTACCCACACAAATGTAGAATGCCTGTACATAAAAACATTGACGAAAAGGGCTTCCTCCATTCCCTACCTAAAAAGGGGCCATTCACATATAATTGCATATACATAACAAGCAGCTTTAATTTGAAATAATGAACACATTAAAGATTTGGTGTAGGAGACAAGATCAAATAATTTTTCTGCCAACAAATTTATACATTGTCCTCTGTGCTTCAACAAGGGGTACAATATGCAGTAATAGTACATCTGCCCAGTAAGGCAAGGCCTACAGACTTAATTTCATCTTTACATCCATGCATGAGATCACCTTAAGTAGCTATAATTAATGTCATCCATAAACTACGCCCTAATCTAATTGAAGATAGAAATGGTGCCAAATTAGCAAAAAAGTACTGTGGGTGTACCTAGCTCAAGATTCACCCAAGTGTGGATTTTGCAGTGTAAAAAGCAAGGAATAATAAATAAAACACACCCATGGAAAAGGAGGCAAACCCAGATATAATATAAGGCAACTTGCTGGCTTAAAAATGTAACCAGTGATTTTGCTCAAGTCAGTAGTCATACAAGGGGAAGGGAAGGAGAAAATTAAGGCACGCCACAGTTTATGGAATGGCTTACAACCAGTCTTTCTTTTTTAATATAATGTGGCACTACATTCAAAGTTAACAGGTAAGGCTACAAGGGGAAAGTTTGAGATAGACAGTAGGAAAATTTATTCAAAGATAAAGGCTAACTTGTCCCCTCAAGAGCTTCTTTTTCCGTTCAAAATCCTATATATACAGCATGATCAGGTTCTGTTGCATGTGGTAGAAAAATCTTCCTGTTCATCAAAAATTAAATGGTAAACGATTTGAAAGGAGGTTCACTGGAAATACAAAGAGATGCATGCACTTTAAAGAAGCTGTAAGGATAGTGCGCATCAAGTGAAAATTTAAAAAGTCGTTTGTACTCAATCCTGGCAAATTAGTCAACAACAGAAAATTTAATGAAACATTTGATCAAATTAAATCTCACTTAAGTAATACAATAATATTAATATCAACATAATCCAATGCCCCTAAAGATGATCCATCTCGAGTGAGGTGAGGTGTTCGGATGTATCGCAGCTTTACATTGAGGCTGTTTACACTTGACCCTTGATCTAGCAACAGTTTTCTACTACTTTACGGTAAATAAGAGTGCATGTTTGAATAAGCCATAGAATCCTGTTTTACAGAATTGATACATTCCTCCAAGATTGACATTTTACCTAAAAGGTTAATACTGATTCAGTGTTCACATACTTTCTCCTCGTATCTCTTCACATAATAGTTAACAAAGCAGACTAAATAACTAATGTTTTGAGTAAAGCTGCAGAGGAAAAGACAATTACAAATTTTTCAAGACCAACCACTTTATTATAGAGGAGGGGGGGGGGGGGGGGGGCGGGTTGGGGGGACTTCCTCTCATGAATTTCATTTCCAATCAAGGAGAAATGTGACAGGTGAACTGTTAGTAGGGCTGATAAAAAATAATACAACCACAAGCAACAGCAAGTTCATACCAAGAGTTAAACTTTGTCTTGACTGCCCACGATTGCCATTTTAATTGTATAGGTTTAATAGATTCTGCTACATGTTCAGCTAAAGATGCTGATTCCTCGGCATAAGCACCCCACAGGTTAATGACAAGATACATGTCTCTGGACGACCCCACAGGCCACAGCACTTCACAAGCCCATCAGGGATTTGATATTCTAGCCAGCCCCTACCTTAATGAAGTCCACACTAAATAGTGCATATACTGATAAATATCATGTGGGATAAGAGTAGTAATTAAAATTGTCAACCTAATATTGAGGGTGCTTTCTACCTGAGAGGCTGAGAGTCGAAGCTTGCAGGATACATGGCAATGATCACGAAACCATAGGGAAAAGAGAAGCCTATACTTTCATTTCTAGGATATGGGTGTATCAATATTATAGAAAATAGCCATTTGCAATTAGATTGTCATTAACATGAAATCAACATATCACAGCCCAGCCTCTGAGCTTTTTTCAACAAGCCATTTTTAAGTTCCTCCTAAGCACCTTTATTACAAGTTTATCATAACATTGACTATAGGATATGTGGCTTAACTCTCCTACAATTTTAAGAGAATACCACCACCTCCTTAAGCCTCTAGATGGTAATCCCCAGTGGTCATGGCCTTTAAATAATAATTTGAACTCTTAGGCTGTGTTTGGTAACTAGCTTATTTGACCAACATTAGCTAATAGACTATTAAATAAGCTAATTCAAGGTGTTTGGTGGGAAGCTTATTTAAAGAGCTTATTCTACTAAATAAGCTCTTTTTCAAAAAGCTCCTTTTAAGAGCCTTTTCAATTAGCTTATTCAATTTTTATGGTGAAATGACACTAATACCCAAATTTTATTAAAAATCCTATATGAACTACCTACCCCACAATTAGCATATTGGTCATTTCACATAATCAATCAGCTTTAAACAATCAGTTTTTTACCAAACACTTTTCTACAACAAGCTTATAAAATAAGTTAGTCAAATCAGTTAATGCAATCAGCTAGTTAAAATCAGCTAACACAATCAGCTTCAGCTTTTCCCAAAACACAGCCTTAAGCTCTCATAAAGAAGCCTTTTTACATTGTTCTTTATGTGCCTATACAACATGTATTGAGGCACAAACTTGAACATAGAGGAGTGGGTTTTCTAAAAGTTCTAAAGAGGTTTAGGAGCTTAGATCTAATTCCCTATCAAACTCTAGAGATTGAAAATTTTGGGTATCAACATATAGTCACATATGGTACATCAAGCCTTAAGAAGACTAACTCTGTTTGGGCCTCCATAAAAACTCATATAGCATGATGTATACAAATTCTATGCTTTAAAGCCCTCAAGGTCATTGACTTTCAAGTTCAGTAGTGCCTTGGAAGCTTCGGTGCTTATTTCCCCCCCCCCCTTTCCTTATTTTTTCGGAGAAATAAGAAAGCTCATTCATTCATAATTACAGAATGTTAAACATTTATGTGTTTGGATGAGAGAATATGGAGGATAAGGAAGGTAAGGGTAAGTGAGAAACCTTTTTTCCTTAAATGGATATGAAATAAACAAAGGGTATGGAAAGCAATTGGAGGGATTTGTTTTGGGTGTTTTTGTCTCTCGGGAGAGTTACAACACGAAGATTGATCCGGAGTGAGCTGTACCTGCAAAACAAACGGAGACACCGGTTGGGTGGTGCTCCGCCTCCGACGCACAAGTTAGAAACTTGAAGGGAGAAAAAGGTGCGGAAATTTAGGTGGGGTTCTGCTCGGATTCCAAGCTCAGGATGTCTCTATCAAAGAGTAAATGTGTAATAAATGGTAAAACGTGCCCTCAAAAAGAGGGACATCTCCCTATTTATAGGGTTTTTGGGATTTGTGCCCCTGATTAGGTCACTGAACCCTAATCATTGGTGGGCTGCGCCGCTTTGCGGCTTTCTCGGGATTTGGGCCTGAAGGCCGCCTTTTCCCCTTAATTTCTGGCGTGACACGTGTCAAGCAGGGATTGGTCCACTTTGGGCCATCCTGAGGCTGACACGTGTCATCCTCTGATTGGACCACGTGGCGGGGTAAAATTACCCTAAACATTTGCCCCTCACAAATGTGACGTGGCACGCCACGTGGCATCTGTGACATGTGTCACGCTCCGATTGGCGGTAATTTTACCATTAAAGTGTAACCGTTCACCTTCCGGGTAAATTACGGAATTGCCCCCGTATTTACCCTCATAATTTTGTACGTTTTCAAAAAATTTTCTAGAGAGAACTTTGAGAGAGCAGAAGTCATCCGTTTGAGTCAGGCGCAAGCAAGAGAGCTCGTTTTCCATCGACCCAGTCGGACCCGCCTAGTTCCAGATATTACATCAAAAGGTATCGTCTCTGCCTCTCTCAGCTCTTTTTCTTTTTTCACCATTTGTACATATTTCTTGCAATATATGGATGCATCACCAACACACACGGCACAGCCTAGGTTAGAGTCCAGCCGGTCACCAGGGACGGCTGAGTCTAGGACTGGGAGTGCCGTCTTGGGGTGTTGGGACCACCCTTTGCCTTGGATTCCGACCAGTTACGTGTCTGCAGGACACAATGGCTCGGATAATGCAGACGGCGACTAATCCAAATTACAAGAGCGAAGGCTTAGGCGTTTGAGGGAGAAACGTCTGGTGAGGGAGATCAGACAGCTCTGGAGAGATCCCCTCCGCGCGCCCCCTCAACTCCTGCTGATTCCTTCTTGGAAGAATGCGACCAAGGCGGCGATGAAGCCGTCTCTGCCCCCTTGAGTCAAACTGAGGAGGAGACTGAGAGCGACAGCTCCGCCTCTACCTCTAAGAGTAGTGACGATTTACCCCCGCTTCAGGATAGCGAGGAGGAAGAAAGGAAAAAATGGAGCGAGAAGGACGATCCCTTCAACATCCACGTCTCCTTCAAGGACCGGATCCAAATGGAGAAAACTTAAAGAATTTTACTAAAATGCACCCGCTAGGAGAAAGGTATAGGATCCGGGTGCCGCCTGAGAATGGCACCATCGCCTGGGAGGACGATCAAGAGAACGCCAACAGCTATTTCGGCTGTTATGAGGCGGCGTTCAAGGCTGGCCTTTGCTTCCCCCTTCACCAGGCGGTGAAGGCAATTTTAAGAGGCTACGGCCTCGGAGTCTGGCAACTAACCCCTAACTCTTGGACAAACATTCTGGGGTATGTTGCCGCCTGCGAGTTCCAAGGGCTTAACCCCGGCTGGGAGGCTTTTGCTAGCATGCATTATCATAGCAGAAGCCCAGGGCGTGGTATACTCTAACCACGCAGCCCCAATACATGAAGACCTTGGACAAGGTCTCAAAATTCGACGGCTGGAGACCTGATGTCAACTCCAACCAGACGGGAGAATTATGAATTCCATCTGTACAATAAGAAGCCCGACTTGATGGGCCGGAAGTGCGCTCTTCCCCGGATCCCAGAGGAAGACTTTGACAAGATCATTGAGGCAGACTTTTTCGGCCTCACAGAAGCGACCTTGTCAACCGGGGAAACAATAAAAGTTCCCAAGAACTGGATCCCCAAGAGCACCTGGTTCAGGGACGAGTGTTTCCTAGCCGCCTGCGGGTTAAGGCACATGTTTACCAGACGTATGCACCTGAGTTTATATCCGTCTGTAGTATTTTTCTATCGAAATTGATTTATGATATTGACCAATTTCTTTCTTTTAGCAGAGGAAGCATTAAACATGTTGCAGACGGAGAAAACTCCCAAGCGGTCCTCAGCACTCATCCACAAGCAGCTTGCGGAAAAAGCTGCGGCTGAGGCCAAGGCCAAGGTAATAAACGCCTGACCCTTTCTTAAATTGATCTTTAAAACTATTTTTCCCGGATGCTAACTTTGACTTGGTTATTTTCGCAGGGGGGGAGAGGTTGGAAAGACGTTTGAGAAACAACTCAAACAGGCTAAGGAGGAGACCCCCTTCGTTCTCAACAAAATAAAAAAAATCCACCTCCGCGTCAACCCCTGGCGCCTCAGCCGGGCATCAGCAGATGCGGATAGCGGGGCGTAACGAGAAGGTAGGCGGCAGCCTAGGCCTCAGCCTCGTTAACCCCGTAACATCGACCGGGGGGTTCTCCACGCCTGCAAGCGGTTCCCGCTTGGTTGGCTCTGAAGGTAAGAACCCTTTTGAATCCCCGCTTAAGCTGGGGTGGCCTTTGCGGGTGAAATCCCACTCTCAACGAACGTCATCTTCAGACGGCGGGCAACAAATAGGAGCTGCCTTAGTTTCGCACTCATCACGTATTGATTGTG